TAATTCAAAAAATAATTTTCTTTCGTTTATTGGAGTAAAATTTTCTTAACCTATTAGAAATGATTGAAATCATTCCTATTATATAAAAGTTCCCTTTAACATGTTAGAAATGATCCAAAAATATTTTCTTATATGATTGGCTTACTTGTAGAAGTATTTGCTTTAAGAAATATATGAATTATCAGGAGAATTTATTCTAAATTTATGTTCTATAAAAAAAATATTGTCTAGAAAGTGTAAATACGATATCATTTAACATTTTTATTTTATACAAAAATCTTGTCAGATTTAAAAGGTTTAAATTGTTAGATAATGGGAAACAATATATAACTAAGATGCTAATAGAAGTAAAAATAAATTACAAAGTTGACTTTTAATCTATTAATTTATCAAATTTTAAGGCTAAAAAGAAAATTTAAATTTTTTTTGACAATGTAGAAATGTTATATTTATTAATATAATATATTAAGATAGCACGAAATATGGGCATATTAAATAGTATTTAATATTTGATAAATATATTTTTAGGCAGAAAGAGGATAAAATTACACCATTTTTAATAGATATTTTTATCCAATAGGTAAAAAAGGCCATTATTGAACTATTTCTATACATTAAGGAGCCGTTTGGTAGGATGTATTAATTAAAATAGTCCTTGGATTAAAATTTAACCCCCCTAATACAATGTTTGGTTACCCAATTCAACTCAAACATACTAATACATGGATAACTTAATACATCATATGTGGTCTTATCTAATACCAAGGATACCTAGGGATTACTAATCCAAGGTTTACTGATACTTGGACAAGGAAACGAAATGACTGAATTGCCCCTCAATTTCTCTATATATCCTTTAGAATTGGTAAATAATTCACGCTACTCTACTTTTTGGCGCCTTTCTTTTTTCTTTCGCGGTCTTTTTTCGTCTTTGGTTATGGAGAAGGCATAGCGTGTAGGGTTAATTTCTGAACGACATCATCACTATTAGTTTTGTAAGGTTTATACAGGTTTGAACTTTTTTCTTTTCTTCTTTTCTTTTGTTCTTGTCCCAAATGGTTGTAAATAGGTGAATTTAAATGTCCTTGCAAATTAATTAGTATTTTGTAGGTTGAAAGTTTCTGAAAAACATCGTCACCATTAGTATTTATGCTTAAAATTGTGTGTATTGATTTTGTCTAATTTTTATGAAAAACTTAGGTGTTGTTATGGATCTTCAACGTCTTTCGAGTACTGATTATATTATTCTTGAGGAGATAATGTGCCAACAGTTTCTTGTAGTCCTTATTTGCCTTTTTATGGCTATTCATAGTCATTCACTAACAAGGCAATACAGAAATGTGCATGAGATTAGGTATCATATGAGTGTCCGATTACCAAAAGTAATTTCTCACTTAAATTGTATTATAAATGATAGTGATATTGTATGTATTGACAAGTTAAGAATGGATAGAAATGCCTTTCATAATTTAGTTCTATTAACTAAGGATGTCGGAGGTTTGACTAATGGTAAGTATATGTCAAGAAGTGAAAAGCTAGCAATGTTCTTAAACATCTTGGCTCATCACGAGAAGAATAGATCTATCAAGGTCGATTATATTAGATCCGGATGGAGCGTAAGTCAAGCTTTTAATGAGTGCTTGAGAGCTATACTCAAACTAACTCCACTGTTCCTTGTCAATCCTAAACCGATCCTTGAAAATGAGATTGAAGATCGATGGAAATGGTTTAAGGTAGGTGAGATTAATTTTAGTATTTACTTATGATTGAATAATGTAATTTACTAAGAATTCATTCTAGTATGAGGTAACTCTATATTTTTTATAGGGTTGTTTAGGTGCACTAGATGGTACTTACATTCACATTAGAGTTCCATCTGTGTACAAACCAAGATACAGGACAAGGAAGGGAGATATAGCTACTAATGTATTGGGAGTTTGTGATAGAAATCTCAATTTTACTTATGTGTTACCTGGTTGGGAAGGATTAGCTGCTGATGGTCGTGTATTACGAGACGCTGTAGTGCGGTGCAATGGTTTAAAAATTCCCGAGGGTATTCCATGTACATATGCATATAAGAACATAAAAAGAATGATGTGTTTAATTTTTTGAGAAGGTAACTGTACATGAAAAGAATAGAAAAGTAAATAAATTTTATGTTTATATTATAGGTAATTATTATTTATGTGATGGAGGATATACAAATGGAAAAGGTTTTCTTTCACCTTACCGAGGATATAGATATTGGTTAAGGGATTGGTAAGGTGACAACCCCTCACCTCGATGTCGAGAAGAACTTTTTAATATGAAACATGCTAGGGCTCGTGATGTTATCGAAAGGGCGTTTGGTCTCTTAAAAGGGCGTTGGGGAATTCTTAGGAGTTCTTTGTGGTACTCTGTTAAAGTTCATAACAGAATTATAAGTGCTTGTTGTTTGATTCACAACTACATCCGTAGAGAGATGGATGTGGATCTTTTAGACATGGATATGGAAGAACAAGTTGAGAATCAACCTGAACATATTGATCTTGTTGAATCGTCTGAAGAGTGGACCACTTGGAGGGATGAGTTGGCTCAATCAATGTGGAATGCAAGATCTAATCTGTGATGACATGTTAAGTTTTTTTTGTTTTTTTTGGGGATGAATTTAGCTAGCTTGGGCTTTAAGGTCAGCCTTTATGTTTTAGATTTTATACTAGTTAATTAGGAATCTTGAATCCTTTTTGTAACTTTTGAAATCTGTTGTTATGAAATTTGTGATTTTCTTAATATGTTATAATTTTTACTCTTCATCACTTCCTCTAATAGTAAAATTTGACTTTATTTTACAACTCCAATCTCCTAAAACTAAAAGAACCCTGCAACACTAGTGCAGATTATAATTTCTGAAAGTTGATAGAGGAAATGAAAACTAAATGATGAGTATGCATATGTATAGAAAAGAATTAGTATTGTTCTTCCTATCTTTGATTTGCAGCAACCATGAAGATGGTCATTAGAGAAAGGAACAAATTGATAATGTCTACATGCAAGACTATAGAGAAAGGAATTTACCTATGTATTGTAGAAAATTTATCTACTTGAAGCTAGTCCGTTTCTCGGTCTAATTCCACTTGTGAATGTTTGCATGAACATCTGTTGAATGCAATATCTTTTAAGCTTCTAATATGGAGAGCCTAATGCTTTCGGAATATATCAGTTTCTCCTATATTTTGTTTTTTTATATATAAAGTTTTCTAGAAACAGTTCTTGATTTCATGACAAGGTTATATATTTGTTCAACTATTCTATGTGTGGATTATAGTTATTATCATTAGTATTTTCTTCCTATTCATTTTTATAATCTATTCCCAAGAATATAAAGGCCAAATGAGCAGTCAAACATCTGCCCACACATCAAAAAGATCAAGAAATTCAACTCCTCCGACTAGAAGGACATGGATTGTAGCAGAGGAAGGAACTCTTATAAATGGATTAAAAGAGTTATGTGTTAATGGTTGGAGAGGTGATAACGGAACCTTCAAGCCTGGATACCTAAAGGAATTAGAATGTTATTTATGTGAACATCATCCTAACAGCGGATTAAAAGGTGAACCACATGTCTTATCTAAAATAAGATATTGGAAGAAATGTCACGCAAGTATAGCTATGCTAAAGAGCCGAAGTGGATTGGGATTTCAATACAGTGATGGAGCTATAATAGTTGATGATCCCAAATTTTGGGATGACTTCATAAAGGTAATTAATACTTTATTAAAGTTATTATTAGTATAAGTATTCCTGCATTCGTGTCAACCCAAACATAGCGAGAGATATTAGTTGTTCATGATTATAGTTATGTATTTATATATGTGTTCTGAAAGAGTTATTAACTGAGTTATACTATGTTGGTTTGTTTTATTTTGTGATTGTTTTCTAGGTTGATCCAAATACCAAAAACATGAATACGAAAAAATGGCCGATGTTTGTGGATTGGGAGGAAATCTTTGGCAAGGATAGAGCAATAGGGAAATTTGCAGAAGGCCCATTAGATGCTGTTGAGGATATTCAAAGGAGTCAATCCTTAGTAATGTTTAACGATATGAGTTTGGGATTTCCTATTGATCTTGATGGCGATGAAGAAGCTGGTTCTAGTCATAGACCTAATGTGACTAAGGGAGAAGCTGGAAATGCTACTGGAGCTACTACATTTCCTGAAGCATCTCAAAATGAAAGTGCTGAAGCATTTGAACCTGAAGAAGCTGGATCTCAACAAACCAATAAATAAGGTGAGTATACCAAAAGGTCGTCTAATGTCAATGAAAAGGAAAAAAGCAAGAAAAGAAAAAGGATTTCGGAGAATGATACTGAGGTACTTCTTAAGGGTATGGTTGAGGTTTTAAAAAACTTTACTGACAGCCAAGACAAACGAATGGGTGCCTTGATTGACAAGATTGGAAATCGTGACCAATCTGATCTTCGTGATCAAATTTATTCCATCATTGAATCCCCTATGTTTGAGTTGTACTCCATAGAGCAACGCATCAAAGCAACAATGATTCTTTGTGATGACGTCAAAAAGATGGAATTATTTATACGCAGGGGTGAACTTGAGTGTCAAACTATGATGTTTATGATGATCAATGATAAACTTTGAAGTATGGTAGACTTCAAGATAAGTGGAAAGTTCATTTTGCTAGTTTTGCTTAATTAAAGACCTTTAAATATTTGAGTGTAGTGTCAATTTTTGATACCTCAAATTATGTCCTATATTGGAAATGATAGGCGTAAGACGGACACGAGGACATTAGATTTTGTGTAACTAGAATCTATGGAAACACTTGAATGTGGTGTAACTTGTAATAAACTCAAAATGATGTATGTAAATGTGTTTATTTGACTTGCTTTTGTCAATTGATGTATATGATTCTTGCTTCTCTTTTTCTCTTTTTCTCAGTATATACTGAAATGTAAAATGTGTTGTGAATGGATGTTGGATATATATATTCCTTCTTTTGTGTTGTACTTTGTTCGTTCTTTTCCGTTGTTGTTATTCACTTCAAAGTCAAGCTGATATAAGTGAGCATGAGTTATTTGGCCTTCTGCATTTGCTCACTGCACTTATTTTGAGTGGTTATTTAATTTCCATTTAGCTCTAGTATATAACCGAATGCACACCCCTAATTAACACGCGTTGGCTACGTGTCACGAAGCAACGATGTTCGTGTCGATCACTTTCTCAAGTCAAAAAAAGTGATTTTCAGATATCTTAAGAGCAAAGATACAGGAAGAGTCTTTCGATGAAAGCAATAGAGAAGGTAATAATAATAGTATAAAGGACAAAAGGGCATTTTTTTGGCTTAAGAAGAAGGAATTGAAATTCACAACAACAGATGAGAGTAATTCGAAGTAGAGCAATACTAATAGTACTTTTTCTGCTTTCTGCGTTTGGGTTAAGCGAACAGGGAAAATCAGGAGGATTTTGCACTGAAGACAAGAACTCCTTCTCAAGCTCCTCCCTTCGGACAAAACTGACACTTTGACGTGCAGCCAAAATAGACTTTGGATTCATCTTGAAACTGCTGAAAGAAACCTCAAACCTGCAAAAAGGGGTTCGTTTTTTATTTTTGCACCATTGTCTATGATAGAATAGCAAAGAAAATTATTAAAATTTTATACAGGCTTGCAACTTTTTACTACCGGCCATTTGTTCTGCTTTCATCAAAGTGATACGATGCGTTCGTATTCAAGTCATATCAGTAGCCTTCCTCCCTTACTATTGTATGATGCTTCTGGTCTATTTTAGGAATAAGCTTGAATTTCATTACAAACTTCGCCAAATTTGCTTAAATTTAGTTATTACTGGCACTTACAAGATGTTAATTCCATGCAACTTAAGAACTAGGAGAAGAATTGGGACTTGCATATTTGTTATCCATCAAATTTTAAAGGCTGATTTGGTTTATGACAAATGAAGTTTTACAGTGTTCAATATTTGAGTTAGAGACAATGTAGCAGGAAAGCTTCAGGTGGCTTTCTCTGGTTGCTTAATTTTGCTAACTTTATATGAAGTTGTGATCAAACTATATTTCTTTTAGCATCAGAAACTTCTGTTGTTGTCCACCTTACTTGAACTTTAGTTTTATTTTATATTTTCTTGTTTTCTTAAGAGAAGAGGGAGGTACGCATTTGTCGGGATACTTAAAATAACGCCTTCTCATTTATGACTTGAGGTTTCCTCAAGTGAATTAAGTTTGTTGAGCACTTCATATTCAAGTAGTAAACGTAATAGATATGGTAATTACATGAAATAGATAACATAATAACTCTAGGGTAAAATTGGAAAAAAATTATTTTTTGGAGTTTTAAGCCAAACACAAGATTTGAATAAGCAATAAACCAAACATTGGATAAAAAATAATCTCTGCATTGCTAATTCCCGCATTGCTAATTCCCGCATTACTAATCCATGCATTACTAATCCATGCATTAATCCTTAATGTACCAAACGACTCCTAAATGTATTTAAGTCAACAAGTAGAAGGAAAGACATTTTTGAATCATTTCTAAATATTAAGTTTTTTTTAAACCAAATTAGTGAAAAAACTATATTTCTTAATAATTCTAATATGTTAAAAAGGGTATTTTTGAACTCTACCGAATGAAAAATTATGCAAAAGTGTCCATTGAAAAAAATTAATTACACAAAAAGTATCTGCTCGGCTATTTGGTTTAAAAAATGGCTAGTCGACATATTTGGCCATTTGGTCTTCTTTTTTTGATCTTTCATTTCTTTTTCTTTGGCTCTGTTATTTTTAAAAAAACTGTTTGCATTATTTTCTTGTTGCTTTTTTTTTTTCAATAAAAAAATTCTTTTTATAATTACATTTTTTTGGGGGGGGGGGGGAAGAAGATTTATGTCATCTTTTTAATTTATTAAAGTGGAACATGATAATAAATTAATATAGACATATTATATGTATAATACTAATACACAATTATACACCATTTATACAATATCGAGATACTACATGTCTAATTATACAATATCAATACATATTTATATAATATTAATTTGCATTTATACATCATATATATAATGTCGATACATCACATAATTATCTATACAACATTAATACACATTTATATAATATTGATTCACGTTTATACACCATTTATGGAATATTAGTTCGTTACATAATTAATCTATACAATATCGATACATATTTATACACATTTATACAATATCAATACATGAAAAAAGTTGCATGTTAAAAGAACAACTAACGCTCTATTACTAATCCCCTTTTGTACACTTTTTCAAATTTATGTACAAATGATTTGTGTATCGGTTATACATCCATCTTATTTTATTTTATATTTTAATGAAAAACTCTATAGCAAAGAGAAAAATCAATCCCTAGAAAATGATTTTCTAATCCCTAAAAGACAATAGCGACCAAAAAAAATTAATCATCATCCCATTTATGTAGCCTCTACCACGGAAGGTGTTAAAAGAAGTTAATGAATATTAGTTAGTTAAATAACTAACACTTCAAAAGTTAGTTAGTAAGTCTATTTTGTATTTTCCAGATTAGTAGTTAAACTAGTTTGTTGCCTCGTTTATCGTGCTGATAAAAATTAGTTAGTATCCTTTTTCTGCTTCTGATTGCTATATAAGCAGTGAATATGTAAGGAGTTTAACAGATCAATACAAAATTTCTTCTTCTCTCTTCTTCATGTTCTAGCTTTCTCTCTAAAGGTTCTTTAATGGAATTGTGAGCTTGAATGCTCACTACCTTTTGTTCATGGTATCAGAGCAAAGTAGTATGTGGAGTTAGTTGAGTTTAGATCTCTACTAGTTGGTGAAATTCGTAGCTTAAAGATCTGTAGAAATGGTGGGAGTGAAGATAGATCAGAATGATCCTTTATACATTGGAAATTCAGACAATTCAAGTGTTGTGTTTCCAATTAAGTTGATTGGATCTGAGAATTAGGGAGTTTGGAGTAGGGCGATGAGGATTGCACTACTAGGGAAGAGAAAGTATGGTTTTGTAACTGGTGCATGTACCAGAGCTTTGTACAGAGAAGAACTGCATGAGCAATGGAAAACTTGCAATGCGATTGTGTTGTCTTTGCTGATGAACACAGTTAGTGAAGATCTTCTTAGTGGTATCGTCTATGCCACAAATTCTTTCTCAGTGTGGAATGATCTCAAGGAAAGATTTGACACGGTAAATCGAGTAAGGATCTATCAATTACATAGAGATATCACCACTCTTTCACAAGTTACAAATACTATATCTCATTACTTCTCAAACATAAAAATACTGTGGAATGAATACGATGCTATAGTTCCAAATCCATGTGGTGCTTATCCTCAATCGAAGGTATATAATGATCATCTGGAGCAGATAAGATTGATTCAATTTCTGAGTGGCCTAAATGAATCATATGATCAGGCTCGCAGACAAATACTACTTAAAGGGACTACACCATCTATGAATCAAGCTTATGTTATGATTATAGATGCTGAGATCCAACACTCAAGTTATATGCTAATGGAATTGAGAAGCCAAGTTTTATGACGATGAATGTAAACAGGAATCAGGGAACTGGAAAGGAACACTACAAAGGGAAGAAGTGTGATTACTATCATTTCCTTGGTCACACCAAGGATAACTGCTACAAGTTGATTGGATATCCAAGTGACTGGAAACAAAGGAAGAAACCAGGCTATGGAAATGGGAATGGAAACATGAGAAATGGTACAAGACAAATCAATTCAATGGCTATAAAGGACAAAGTTCAAGAAATACTGGTGGATACGGAAGAGGATATCAGTCAGCAAACAATATCTCTAATGACCACTGTGATCATCCTAATACTGCATCAACTAGTTAGGTGAAAAACAGCAACCTGCCAAAGGTGCCAATGGGAAAAACATTTACTGAGAAGGAGTACAAACAAATAATGGAGATGTTAAACAGGGATGTGCAAGAGACAAAACAAGTCAAATATGACAGGTATTACTACTTGCTTAATGACAAATTCTATTATTCAAGATTGGATTGTTGATTCAGGTGCAACTCATCATATCAATGCAAACAAACAATTACTGACTAGGAGACATGAATTCACCAAGTCACAAAAGAATCAAGTTCATCTTCCAACAGGTGACAAGGTTACAGTTAGTCATATTGGTGAAACACCTATATTTGACAGTGAAGTGACTAGAAGTGTCTTGCATGTACCAGATTTCAATTCAGTTTGTTATCAGTGTCAAAGATTACAAGGGAACTAAACTGCTTTGTATCATTTTATCCTGACTTTTGTGTGTTTCAGGACCTCTGCAGTGGCAGGGTGAAGGGGATTGGTAGAGAAGAAGGAGGATTATACAGTTTTAAGGCTGACTTTACATCTAAACAGAAGGAGGAAATAAGGTGTGCTCAGGAAATAGTAGTTGCAGGAGCTAAAATACACGACACAAATCTATGACACAGAAGGTTAGGACATCCATCTCAACAAATATTGAGACATATCGAATTATGTACAAGCAGTAAAGGTGATGAAGTATATACACATTGTCCTGTTTGTCCTTTAGCCAAGCAAACTAGACTTACTTTTCCTATTAGTACTACTAGAGCATCCATGATGTTTGATGTTGTTCATATGGATCTATGGGGACCTTATAAGACCCCTACTATAGATAGAAAGCATTACTTCTTGACAGTAGTAGATGACTATAGTAGATTTGTATGGGTTCATTTGTTGTAGTTAAAATCTGAAACCATTGTGGCTATCAAAAATTTATTTTCAGTGATTAAGACTCAGTTTGATTCTCATGTCAAAATTGTGAGATCTGACAATGGCACAGAGTTTCTTAATTCAAAATGTAGAGATTTGTTCAATCATCTAGGAGTATTGCATCAAAGTAGTTGTCCTCACACACCACAACAAAATGGTGTGGTTAAGAGAAAGCACATACACTTCTTTAATATTGCTAGAGCTATCAGATTCTAAGCTCATTTGCCTATCAGATTTTGGGGTTATTGCATCAAGGTTGCAGTGTACTTAATTAATAGATTACTTTCATTAGCTATTTCTAACAACAGTCCCTATGAATTACTTCATTGTAAACAACCAAGTTTGTCTCATCTAAGAGTCATAAGTTGTCTTTGCCATGCTACAACAGTGCCTAAAGGGGATAAATTCTCAGCAAGAGCTAATGTTGCTATTCTCTTAGGGTATTCAGAACTACATAAGGGTTATATATTATTGGACATCCATTATACTAAGGTGTATGCGAATAGAGATGTATCTTTCATGAAGAAGTTTTTCCATTTTCTAAGGTGATACCTCAACTTGATTCCTCAGTTGTTGTGCATGGTTCACCTTTAGAGAAAGTAGAAAGTCAAGTTGTTGAGGATAAGATTGATAATGAAGATAATAAGGAGCCTGCAGATACTATCACAGTCAATGAAGATAATCAGAATGTTCAAATTGAGAATTCTTGAGTAGATCAGATGCCTGAGCCTAGTCCAACAGTGGAAGTTTCTGAAAATATTCATGCAGTACCATCACAAGTTGACTCTCATATTAGAAGAAATTCAAGAAGCACCAAAGAGGCAATTTGGATGAAAGATTATGTCATTACTAAGAGACATAGTAACACCAAACATCCTATGGATAATTTTCTAAATTATGACAAATTAAAACCTGAGTACAGAAGTTTTGTAAGTAAGCTTTCAGAATGTGTGGAACCTAATAATTTTAGTCAGGCTGCAAAAGATGAAAGGTGGATACAAGCTATGCAGCAGGAAATCAAAGCTCTTGAACAAAATAATACTTGGCTAGTGGTTGACTTACCAGAAGGCATGCATACAGTTGGTTCTAAGTGGATATATAAAGTAAAATACAAGGCAAATGGTGAGATAGAAAGGTTTAAATCAAGACTCGTTTCAAAAGGATACTGTCAGCAAGAAGGATTGATTACAATGACACTTTTTCTCCAGTTGCCAAAATGGTGACAGTCAGATCTGTCATTGCATGAACACTATCAAAAGGCTGGACATTATACCAAATGGATGTCTATAATGCTTTCTTGCAAGGTGATTTAGATTAAGAGGTCTATATGGAGATACATGAAGTTTTGCAAGACCAGGTGAAAACAAAGTATACAAGTTACTCAAGTCTTTGTATGGACTTAAACAAGCTTCAAGATAATGGAACCTAAAACTTACAAAGGCATTACAAGCCATAGGTTTTACTCAGAGTGCTCATTATTACTCATTATTCACACTAAAAAAGGGGAAGATCTTGTCATTGTTATAGTCTATGTAGATTATCTATTGATCACAGGAAGTAAAACACAATTGATTACAAAAGTTAAGGCATGTCTACACAGACAGTTCAAATTGAAGGATCTATGTGAACTTAAGTTCTTGTTAGGCATTGAAGTATTGAGGTCCTCTAAAGGAACTATTTTGAATCAAAGGAAATATATATTGGAACTTATTGTTGATGCAGGCCTGACCGGTGCCAAACCTGCATCCACACCAATGGAGTACAATTTGAGATTGACTTCAGTAGAGCATGATCAAGCAAATGGCTACACTGCAGACGTTGTGCTGCATGACATTACTCCATATCAAAGATTGGTTGGTAAATTGTTGTATGCTACTATCACTAGACCAGATATAAGTTATGCAGTGCAAACACTCAGCCAGTTCATGCAATCTCCCAAGAAATCACATATGGAAGCAGCTACTAGAGTGATTAGATATTTGAAAGGATCAATTGGTCAAGGTGTTTGGCTACATTCTGAACCTGCTAACATACTTACTTGTTGGTGTTATTCTGATTGGGCTGCTTGTCCTAACACAAGAAGATCCATCACAAGATATGTCATTAAGTTTGGAGAGTCCTTAGTTTCTTGAAAATCAAAACAATCCGTTTCAAGAAGCTCAGCTGAAGCTGAGTACAAAAGTATGGCTTCAACAGTCTCAAAAATCACATGGCTTCTAAGCTTGTTCAAAGAATTAGGAGTGGATGTTCAGTTACCTATTATTATCTTCAGTGACAGCAAATCAGCTATACAGTTAGCAGATAATCCAGTGTTACATGAAAGAACAAAACACATTGAGATAGATTGTCATTTTATCCCGGATAGGATTAAAGCAGGCGAGGTTGACACTGCTTATGTACATACACAACAACAACTTGCAGACATATTGACAAAAAGATTGAGTCAAGCTCAACATGTGCATCTTTTAGGCAAGCTTAGAGAGATCAATGTTATGTACTCATCAGCTTGAGGGGGCGTGTTAAAAACAGTTAATGAATATTAGTTAGTTAAATAACTAACAATTCAAAAGTTAGTTAGTAGCTCTGTTTTGTAATTTTCAGATTACTAGTTAAAGTAGTTTGTTGCCTCGTTTATCGTGCTAATAAGAATTAGTCGGTAGATATTTTGTACATCCTTTCTCTGCTTCTGATTGCTATATAAGAAGTGAAAGGATTTCACATGTAAGGAGTTTAACAGATCAATACAAAATTTCCTCTTCTCTCATCTTCATGTTCTAGCTTTCTCTATAAAGGTTCTTCAATGGAGTTGTGAGCTTGAATGCTTACTAGGTCCTTAAGAATGAAATGTGAAATTGGTCCTTAAATTGTTTCGCGAACATTATTGAACTAGTCCTTAGAATGATTTTGGGACCATATTTTTGGTTCATGATTAAAATGATTTCACAATTATTTAAAATTGAAAAAAAAAAATCACCTCACGCATCTATTTACGGGTTAATATATTATCTTTATATATTTTTTTAACTATTTATAAAATTTTAATTACAAGTACTAAAAATCAGGTTTAATTTATTAATCAATTATATTTATCAATTTATATAATGTTAATAGGTCAGAGAAAGAAAATTTTATGAGAGAGAATACGTTTATAATTATCAAGTACATCTTTGAAGTGATTATTTAACCCATCACTTGCGACACCCCACCCCCACTCCTACATACACACGACGATTTCTTTTTTAACCCACATGAATCTCACTTTCTCTTCCAACGTCTTCATTGTTGTCCTCCTTATTTAGAAGTGACACTTCTAAAGGACCAACAATGTATCATGTTGTTGTACCCAAGGAAATAGTATTTGTACTAGCAATTTCCTAAAATTCACCAGGCGTACACCTTTTCTAGATGGGTGTTTTAGTATTCTTACTAGCTATGTGGGATACAACTGTTATCCACCTCCATTTTCATTTATTGTTACTGCATAACCCTATTGGACACAATCCAAGGCGAATTGTAATAAAAGAGGGATATTTAGGTATTTTACCTGCAATTGCAGAGGTTCCAAATGAGTTAAGTAAATGTTAAACACGTGTTATATCGGAGTCAACATTTTTCTTTCTTTACCCTCTTCTTCATCTTCCTCATTCTTCCTCTTCCTTTCCGAATCCTCACATCTCTCTCAAATAAAATTATGTAGAAAAATTCAAATAAATAAACCCAACAACTATTGGATGCTTCACAGATTTAAGGTAATTCAAAGTTTTCAACTTAGATTTATAGTTCTCAATCTCTCCCAACTCACTCTCTTTCAAGATCTAAATTTTTTTTTAGCAATTCGACTCAAAATTTTTGTTAATTTTCTAATTTTGATCTAACTTTTTACTTGCATGTTTCTAATGGAGTTTGAGATACCTCGAATTGAATTCATGAGTTTCGTTGTTTTACTTTGATCAGGATGCTAAATTTCAAAACTGAGTCTATATATTCAAATTTGATTTTTGGAGTTTGTATCTATTTATTATTCAATCAATATTAAGTTTTACCTATTATTTGAGATGCTGAAGGCCCATTTATGTTAAGTTGAAGGGATATGCTTTAATTTTTAATTTTCTGATAAACCTGAGTAGCTTACATTGCAGATGTTGCACCAGTTCCCCATGTAAAACACATTCAATCTCTCTCACATCAAATGGCAGTTCCGATCGAAAAAGCCACAACTGCACTATCCATATTTTCTCTAGAGATAACAAACTCTATTAACACTGTTTTGAAAATTCAATTGTTTTTAGTGAGCATGTTTTCCTAATTGATGAATTTCTTCCTTTGTCGTTATAATTTCAGGATGATCAAGCAGAGGTACAAGGCTCGGTGTTTTGGGTTTCAGCTAAAAGAGGTGCAACTATTAGTCCAATCGGTAACATATCACTTTTACATTTATTTTAGGTTTTCGGTTCTAATTCAGTTTTTCCTCCATTTCTTTGTAATTGGTAATTCAGTTGCTTGATCTTCCCTTTGAGCAAGTCCTTGTGAATGTTCCTTGTAGGTCTTCCTTTCTGGAAGTATAGCCCACCATGAAATCAAACTACCTCAAGTAGTATCTTAACTACTTGAAAAGTGTTCATTTTACTACTTTTAACGTTCCAAAATGAATTTGGCAGAGTACGGTAATGTGGTTGCATTTAGGTTTTATTTATCTGAAAACACTTAAGATATTAACTAATTGGTATGTGTTAAGAAATTGTATCATCATTATGCTGCTGAAATTGTTCACACAACACACTTACACAAGAGGGGAAGGAAATGGGTTATGTGCTCTACACATATAGAAATTGAGTTAAAGCGCTTCGTCAGGTTAGTAAGGAATTTCAACTTTTAACAGAAAATATTTTGATCTCTTAATGAGATAAGGTTTTACATTATCATTATCTTTTACTTTGCGTCTATGCTTTTTATTTTTGTTTGTGCTGGTGAAAATGATTATAACTGAAAAAGAGTGGGTCAGATTCTGCATTTCTTTAGTCAGATTTTCCATATTGATAGTTGGTGATCCTTAAGGATTCTTCAAGTCTAGAAGGGGTTTAAGGATGGGTGATCATTTATCCTATATCTCTTTGTCTTCGTGATGAAAATCCAAGCTTAACATTCAAAATGGTAGAGAGTTTGGGATAGTTTAAGGGCCTATGCATTGGCAAGAATGGAGAGGAAGAAATTGTGCCTACGCTTTCTATATGCATATGATACTTTACTTTTTTGTGAGGCAGAAAGAGACCAACTATTGCATTAAAGAAGGGTTTTATTTAGTTTTCAAGCAATATCTTAGCTGAAAATCTATCTAAAAGCATTAATGCAAAATTTTTGCATTGAGGAATTAGCTGGTATTTTTTGAGTGTGAAATGAATAAGTTTCCTACAATATATTTTTCAGTAGGGATGAAGAAGAAAGTCATACACGAGTAATTGATAGTTGTACAAATAAGTTTGTTTCAGATTTATTTTTATATGTATAGACAATCCTCAACTTTAATTAATTCATCATCTTCAAGCTTTGAATTTCGAGTAGCGAATGAAGTTGGAGAAGGAAGACAAGGGAAGAAGGAGTGCTCAATATTTAGGTTTAGTCATTTGTATGCAATGTACATGTTTTAGTCATAAAAAAAGACTCATAAACATGTAGTCCACATGAGCGGATATAATCTAACTTGTGTTTGATGTTAGCTTGCATTACAGATGTTGCACCAGTTCCCATATGTTGACACATTCAGGTATTTGTTATGTTGCTTAAGATATCTCAATCGACACTGTCAACTTGCTTTTAAGCCTTACACCTATTTATACTAAATCACCAATTATCTAACTTTGATGAAATTAGCATTTTTGTGAACGAGCCCCCCGACATTGTGTCTCCCCCTCCCTCGTTTGGCATTTGGGTTCGTTGAGACGGAGAGTTCATGGGAGTTGGATCCGGGATTCATATAGGTTGACCTTGAATTACTAGCATTGGTTGTCAGGGGAAAAACAGTGAGTAGAGTTTATTATGTCTATTGGGTGAAGAAGGGAATCTGCACCATACTTTCCATGTTTGAAAAACTGCTTAGATGATGGGGTAAATTCCAAAGTGCTTGCATGGTGCTGAAGAACTCCGGAGTTGCGGCTAGCGTAAGAAGATCCATTGCATTGGTCACCCGCATCTGGCTTACAAAGTTCTCCATGGCTAACTTCATTCCCTCCGTGACTAACTGCGCCAGAAAGTTTGAGTTTTGTAGAATTATTATCGTCTTTACTCCATTGATGTCCATGGAGAAGAGAGCTGCATGGCCTGGGAGAGCTGTCTCCACCCATGACTGGGGATGATGGAGAGGGTGAATTGGTTGAGTGGCGAATGGCGAATACAAGGGGAGCTTAGAGGGTCTCTGGGGTATTGGGGAGTAAGTAAGGATTGCTCATCGCAGAGAATGGGTTTCTCGATGAGCGAGAGATGGGAAGGAGACGAACTTTCTGATGAATAGGAATTGGAGCTCTGAACATTCTTAATAAGATTTATTTTGATATTAGAGTTAAGAGAGTTGGGAAATTATTGAGTATCAACAATGGAAGATATAATAGACGGGGGATTGGTCATCATTGGCGTGTCGATAGCACAGGAAAATTTTGGAAAATTTGTAACGTTATTATCTATATCCACTTGTTCAGTTATCTTAGCCAAGTGTATAACCTGAGTAGGGGTACCCTTAGTATTTATGTCAACCCTACTAGTATTAGGGGTAAAATTAGAATTTAATAATTTTTCTAATTGAGAAGTCGACACGTCGTTGCAATTTGTAGGATGAATTGAAAAGTTTTGCCTAGAGCATGTCGCCTCAGAATCTAGAGAGTCGGGATCATTAGTAGGGGTAAAGTAATTGAATCTTTTCTGAATTCATTATTAATATTTTCTTCCTCCATATTTTTCAAGATGTCAAATTTGTTTATCGAGGAACTGTCAAAATTTTGCTTATCAATCCTTAGAAGAGTCTGAGAGTAGTTCTGAATAACTGGGGAGTTTCTAAAATTATCAGAATTTTGCAAAACAACAGTAGTAGCAAATTGTTTAGGACTGGGGGAGCATTGATCAGAGGAAATCATGGGAACTAAAGAATTTACCTATTCCTGTATACATAAATTTGACGTTTTTACCTGGGTTGCTTATATTAGCAGGGTCGATTGCATTCTTCGTAAGATTTTGTATTTGACGCTTTTTGCGAGGGAACTTTACTGTAAGCCATTGACTTGACATGGTGTCCTTCAGTGTACAATGTTGTTTTCGACTTGTTTGATATACCAGTCACCAAATGTTTCCCACTCTGTTCCTTTTTATCGAAACTTAATGATGAGTTGTAGGGACATATAGGGATAGTATGTCCCAGTCTCCCACGGTTCTTGCATAGGAAACCTTCTCCTTCTTAGGCAATATCCTGTTTATGCCCTCCTATTTGAATGGATGTAGTGACCGATTCTTCCATTGGAATCTGTACACATAGTCTTGCGTATCTCCCTCGCAGAGTAGCACTTGTACAGGCATCTATTTTCACGAATGTACCGATAGAGTTGCCAATACGTCTTAATAGTATACAATCATAAAACTCTATAGGAAGTTGCGGTAGACGCACCCAAACAGCCGTGTAAGTTAATTTGGATTTTTCTGGGTTGAAATTAGGAACCCATCTTTGAATTGATAAGAAATGACCATTAATGAACCACGGGCCATTTTGCTGGACATAAGAGCGTTATCCTCGTCTGCTAGTTTTACCGTGAAAAAATCTGACCTAGATCAATGATTGAAAAATTTTCGGGTAGCCGCCAGAGAGCTTGGATTTTCTGCTTTTAAGTATTGGTGGGCGATTCTTTTATCGATAAGTTTAATTATGACAGAATTTTTCCACGGGTCCCAGACCCTTTCACTTTCATCCTGGGAAAGAGTAATTGTTTTTATATTGCTAGAGAGGTTATTCTCTGACATGACTTCCTTAGGTACGTTTAAGGAATTCAAATAACTTGTATTATTGTAGTCATACATGTCTACGTCGGAGATGTATTATCCTGCTAATAATTTTTCTTTAAAACTATCTTTTCAGGAAGTAAGAACACATTTATCAGGGGGAATTTGTGTTCTTGGTAATTCTGGAGAATTAGACAACATGTGGGAGGGGGGTGAAGCTTGAAAATAAAGCAGGGTATTCTAGAGAGAAGCGATAGAAACTAATTTCTAGAGATATAAAGGAATAACAAGTTTTCCCTTAAAAAGAACACTCATTTAATTGCATCTTATGTCTATTATTAATTCATTACTATTATTGATTTGTTTGTTAATATATATTCCATTCTTATACCTTTTCTTATTTTAACAGATGTTATAACCCATCATCGTTGAGTGTTAAAACTTGAAACATAATGAATAATGCCATAACTAGTAATAATTGGTCTTACATATGTTAATTTTAAAAATTTCATGTAAAGTTTTTGTTGGAAATAAGTTACATAATTGAATTGTTCAAAATTCAAGATGAATATTTGATTATTTTTTTTATATTTGTTTTTCCTTTCATAAAGTTTTCTAAGTATTTTCGAAAAGATAATTACAGTACTTATGAAGTTATATTCATGATTTCACAATGGGAAATAATGAAAAAAAATTTAAATTATATTGGCTTAAGTCATCGGCAGCCACTTAAAGTTGTTCATATAATTTACTTGAACACCTCAACCTAACCATATACCTATTGAACATTTCTACCAATTTGAATTTAAATCATTTGAACACTTTTTTGACATCAGCTAAAAGTACGAAATGTGTGTAACACACTCGCCATGACGTGGCAAGCTAACAAATTAATGACATACACGTGGCAATTTGAGTTTAAATAATAATTAAATTTTATTAAGAAATCAAAAAGAAAAAAATGGAAAAGGTTATGTCCTCTAACCTTCGACCCTGCTACCTCCTCTATTCAAATTTCAAAGTGTTTCATCCACCTATTGTCGCCGCCTTCAGTTGTCAATCCATCATCTTTATTTTTATTAATTCAACTAAAAATAAATTCAAATATGTGGTCTACAGAAAAAGAATATTTGAAATAACAAACTACGTACTCTTCTTTAGTTTCTTCATTTTTCTTCTCTAATGCAAAAGAAAGTTAAAGGAAATTCAACCATTAATGGTGGAATGGAAGTGTTTGTGCAGAGATTTTCTAACTCCAAATAAGAGGTTCTGAAACTATTTGTTTAAAGTTCATCGATTTATTCATTTCTATTCCTTTTCTCATCAAGTTAATGGTGGAATTTTTTTTTTTGGAAGAAATTACTTGAAGAATTTAAAAATTGTTTGATTTGAGCTTAACAGAAAAGAGAAGAATTGGTGGTGGTGGCGCTAGCGCGGTGGAAATGGTGCCAGCGAGGTGCACGGTTGAACTGATAATGGTGTAGCCCTGTAGGAAGAAGATATGGTCAAAGAAAAAAGGAAAATAAAGAGGTACATTTTTGAAGAAGATATGTTCACGCGCTAAGTAACGGTGTTATACACTTTTCGTGCCATGTCATCGAAAGGTGTTCAATAGGTACTTATTTTGAATAACTTATATGTTCAATAGGTACAACTATTAGTTAAAGTATCTAAGTGAATTATGCGGACAACTTTAAGTGGCTGCCAATCACTTAAGTCAATTATATTCATAAATATTTCTCTTAATATGTATACATTGTCTCATAAATTCACTTTTTATGGAATAGAGGAAGTACTTCTCAAGTAATAGAATTAAGATTTTCACTAAGAAGATTAAAGTTAACTTGCAGAAGTCAATTCATGAACTAGTCGAAGTGATTCGATATCTACTATATATATATATATATATATATATGAAAAATGATTTTAATTTTATATGAATAGAATAATTTTCCATCGAAAGGTGCTTGGATAAACTCCCTCACACCAAGTTGGCTCTGACATACTCTAACTTACTCCATCTTAAATTATTTTTTTTAAATAAAAAATTTTAGTACCTCAAATTATTTTCATTTTACAAGTTCGAAGATATTTATTTCTTAGTCATTAACAGAATTATTTTGAAAGATTTATAAACACTTTAATACTCCACTGATCCCTTTTTACTTGTTCAATTTTGACAAATCAAAAAAAAGATAATATTTATTTATCTATTATGTCCTCAATTTATTTAGAGAGCTAATATTTTTAAAAAAGCTAGAACATTTTTAATGAGTAAATTGATTTTGGAATTTTATGATTAATAAAAATAAAATAATAAACTTAATATGTCAATTATTATTTTCTTAATAAGTGTGCCAAATAAAAAAAATAGACAAATAAATAGGGAGAGGCAGTAAAACCAGTGGTGTACGCAAAAAACATTCTAAGCGGTGTCACAAGGACAAAAATAGCTCAAGAAGAAAATCGAAGAAGTCTTATTTTAAGTTTCCGAATATTTGAGGTCCCTTTTAATTAGATGATATTGTAAAAATTTAAAAATCATTCACATTTTCATGTTATTAAATAAATCAACAATGAATTTAAATCAACTCCTTCACTTCGCCGGTATCTTTATTAACTCATTAGCTTGTTCATTCAAGTAAGTTGAAGCTTGAGTCGTTAATTAAAGTTGACTTTGAACATTTGAACTTTTTTTTTTAGAATAATAAATCTCCATTAAAAATTTAAGCTAATATGATTTGATCTACACAATAAGTAATTGAGTATCAAATAATAGAGGATTGCAGACAATTTTGATCAACTTAATGAATACTAAATTATTTCATTGTAACAAGTAGATAGTACAAAATAAATTTATTATGATGAACAAATAAAAATAAAAATTCAAGCCCCTAATTAAAAAAACCTAAATAGTAAAAAATACTACCCTGATATGAAAATTCGAGATGTCGAATAACAATGATTGATGAACAAAAAAGGAAAAAATTGAACAAACTCACGAGTCAAATATACTAATACAAAGATTTAAGGAGTCGACCCCAAAAATATGTTGCATCTACCATTTGAGCCAACCAAATTATATTACAAAGAGTGTATTGTATATTCTTTTATACTTTAGTTTTTTTTTTTGTTTTTTTTAATATAGGTATATTCGATAAATTTTTTTGAAGAAGTCGTGTCACGTGACTATTTTGAATGGGCCTAAATACGCCCCTGAGTAAAAAAGATATTATATGAAATTTTGTTATTCAAACATGACTTATGGTCGTAGAATAATCAAAATCCATTCTTATTCATATATTTTAGAGAAGTGTAAAAGGAAAACAAGCAAAATGATTTTAGGCAGAGGGAACACTAGAATGCAGCAAAAGCACACCCCACCACGATGTTGACTTGTCTATTTTCATAAATTTATGGATTTATAATTTTTACTGGAAAAAACTTATAAAAAATAAGAAGTGGTGCTTAAAGTTTGAACTAAAAATTTTAAAGTATAAATTTATGGATTTATAATTTTTACTGAAAAAAACTTATAAAAAATAAGAAGCGATGCTTAAAGTTTGAACTAAAAATTTTAAAGTAAATTTGGACCCTCTCAACTATTAAGCTAATATTTTGGGTCTGTTTGAAAAGTAATCTGATAATTGAAAGTTGGTCTAACTATTAGGATAGTAATTATCATCCTACCAATTACATAGTCTAATAGTTATACTGTAATCATAATTTAAATTTTAAAATTAAAGATTAATTATTTAAAATGTATACTAGATAATTAAGAAACTTTATAAATGATATTAAATTAAATATTCAAGATATATCATAATTAATAAGCATATAATTTTAATTAATTATGAAAAATAACTGATTTCTATTTTTCAAATGAATATATTTCAATTGAATTGATCATAAAACTAAAAGTATGAAGTTTCTACGAACATCATAAAATGCATGTTTGATAAAAATAATAATATATAAGAAAATGTCATAAATTGCTAAAGTATTTGACAAAAGATAATCTAATTAGAAAATGACTTGCAATGTGAACTTAATATTACTAAAACAAATTAAATTGAAAATATAACATAAGTCATAAATTCGAAACAAAAAAATTAACATGATACTCTTATTGCAAATTTTAATAAAGTATACATAAATATGATTTAGTTATTACTATTTTTATATTAAAAAATGTAAGTCTATAACCTTACTTAACTATAAATTCTATTTAATTTAAAAATTAGAATGCTAATAAAACTATGCTAATGAGAAAACAAGTATGACATAAATAAATAGATAATACAAAAAAATTATATAAAATCACGTGAAGGAAGGTTAAGAATGAGAACAAAATGAAATATAATAATATAAAATAAAAAAAATAAGTTTTTTGCTATGAAACTATATGAATTTAGAAGAAGAATAAAGTAGGAAGAAGAGAAAAGACTTCTTATTCATCTTGAAGTATATTCAAGGTTTCACAGATCTTTCTCAAATCTTATTTACAATGAAGAAATATCCCTTTCTTTATAGGGAAAACCTAACTTGGTCTTCAAGTAGATTGCTAACCATATCCTAAAAGGACTCCACATAATTAGACATTCACTATAATATAAATATGTTTATAACACTTCCCCTTGAATGTCGGTAGATTATGTGCGTCGTTAAAACGTTACTAGATAAAACCCAGTGGAAAAAATATCTAGTGAAAGAAAAAGAGTACACATATCTAATAATACGAATTATGGATGGCTCATTAAAAACCTTACAAGGAAAACTCAGGAGGACAAAACCTTGTGAGAAAAAAAGAGTACATCGCGTATTAACTCCCCCTACTGACAACATCAATTTAGAGACTAGAATCTTTGTTTTTCAGCTTGTGCACCATCTTCTTGAAAGTTGTAGTTGGTATAGACTTGGTGAATAAATCAACAGTAATATTACTTGAACAAACCTCTTGCATGTTGATATCACCATTCTTGGGAGCTCATGAGTGTTAAAAACCTTGATGAAATATGTTTCCTTCTATCTCCTTTTATGAATCTTCCCTTCAGGTTCAAAGATTTCTTCAAGTTCCTTACTTTAACTTCTTTAAACAAATAATATATTGCCTTTTGAAAACTCTTTAAGAGTTTCAATTATAGTTATCAACTTGCATAACAATACTTGTATATGCTCTATGCATTTTGAATCTATTTAATCCTTATAAGGATGATAGAGAAATTTCCAAAAAAACTTGTATATGATTTAGATTTTGAACACATTGCATATTTTCATATCAATTTTGTCAAGTGACAACATTCAATATTAGATGTATGTCATCTTCTAGTGCCTAGATTGCAAGTCAAATAAATTTTACGCTTACCAAGATGCATCATTCCACTTTTCACTTGATAATTATTTCTACATCAGCATGCTTAAATAGATATAGAATTCATATCATCGTAATATTTTACAATATTGCACGTCATGGTATCAAAGATATCATCAACGATATAGCATTTTGTATCGATTCTCAGTACGACATAACTTCTTGAGATCTCATCACTTTATTATTATTAGGTAGCTACCCCTCTCATGAGGTTTCATAAAGTGTTGTGTCGTAGGCTCTCCAAGAGCACATTATCTCCTTATTATGATCATTTTGATTCTTTGATCCTTCCCCTTTTTCAAGTATTATTTTATTTAGAGTTGATTATTCTATCATGCTTCATGCATGTCATATCCGGAGCCTAAAGGGTAAAAAATGTTAACAAAAATTCCAAAACGGTATATGAAATTTCTTTTTAACCAAAAGGGCAAAATCGCTCGCGAAGTAGCGATTTTGTCCACTGAAAAAAGTAAAATCGCTGCTATAGCAGCGATTTGTTAAATTTGTTTTTTTTTAAAAAAAATTATAACAAAATCGCTCCCTCGGAAGCGATTTTCAAAATAAAAATCTTTTTTTAAATATTTTTTGATATGTCGCTGCTTAGGCAGCAACTTGTGTATAATTTTTTTTAATTAATATTTTTTGTTTTTTTTTATAAAAAAAGTTTAAATCAATTTTTTAAATCAAATAGTTGCCAAAGCAATGATTTTTAATTAATTTTTTTAAAATAAATAAATAAATAAATCGCTGCCATTTTTTTTTAGTGATTTAATTTTTAAAAATTAAAAAAGAAATAATTAAAAATTGCAGCAATGTAATTTTAAAAAAATATTTTTTTCATTTAAACTTTTTTAAATAAAAAAAGCAAAAAAAAAAAAAATTAAGGTAATGTCGCTGCATAAGCAGCGACTTACTTAAAAAGGTATAAAAAAAATTTGAAAATTGAAAATTGCTCCCTCGCGAGCGATTTTGCCCTTTTGGTTTAAAAGAAATTTCATATACCGTTTTAGAATTTTTGTTAACATTTTTTACACTTTAGGCTTCGAACTCGACTTTATCCTTAAGGGACATTCCATAGATGTATTTACAACTCTTGTGTTGCTTCTAGTCTCCCCCTTATGTTAGACAAACTAACATATATCACAATTTTTGGAGAATCTATCTTTGTGCATCATTGTATATTCGTTGATTATATACTACATATCAAAATAATCAGATGAAAAATATTTGTTCCCTGACCACAAATCAATTGAAATAAAATCTGATCGTAATTTGTTGGTTTAATGCATACAATTAATTTTGTATGCGGTATCATATTTCAGATCAACACATGGAGCTTTATTTTCATAAGCAATGATTTCACTATCTCAGACATTAAATGTCACAACATCTTCAGTATTTATCAATATTATCAAGATAAATTGTCTTGATTACATATTCTGAAATTGTGCTCTTAACTCAATTATTTTTGCTCAAACAATTTTGTGAATGTCAAACTACAGGTTGACAACAAACGCACATGTGATTATCTTATAGATGCATCTTTTTATTATGTCACATGATAGGTGAACAAACCCATATTCACCTTTTATACTTTTCAGAATTCAGGGATTTAGTTCTAACATTAGTTGATCAAATCAACTTATCACAAGTACAAGTAACATATAGAATTCTTGAAGAATTTCAAATTCTCTAATGTATGTCCATCACCGTGTATGCACAACTTTGGTATTATCAATTATTCATGTCGACGAATAAAAATATTAGTACTTGTAAACTCAAAGTTTACTGTGGCAATGCCTTTTGCTTTAGTAAATTTCTAATTCACTATTATAGGAGTAAATTTTAATTTTATTACTGTGAGAGTAATTTTTGGATTTATTTCTTCTCAACTTGCCTTGATAACAAATAGTACAAGTAAATTCACCATTTAAAAGAATCTGTAAGTTATTTAGTGGATGTCTATTCAAATTATTTATAATTCACCTTATCATTATAGACTCATGATGTCCCATACAATCATGCAAAAGTAAAACAGTATTGAAATTTGTATTAGAATGTGCCTCAATTGCACTAATTACTATCCAATAAAAGTCAAAAGACAAAGTATGAAACTTTTCTTTAACATATGTCTGCCAAGAGACAATCTTGGAGATACCACATCTACAATCAAAGATTGCGATCTTTTTCACTCCTAGCATGATGCCTTACACCTCATTCACTTTAAAGACTGGTTGGGATCTGTATTTTTACCATTTGTTAAAAGCTCTCATTCTTCATGAATAGAACACAATCATCTAAACATCAAATTTTGATAACTTAGTACCTCATTCCATATTCATGTGCATCATTTAATCAATTGTTTTCTTTTAGACATTTATGCACTGCTACATTCACTTCGAAAAATGAATCTTCTTCAACGAGATATATTTTTCATGACTAATTTCTATCAAAAACTCATTATTTGCCTTAGTCATCATTATATAATCAATATGGTGCATTGAGACTCAAACTCAACGTCTTATGTCATAAATCAGTGAGGGACTTGAACGCAACATCTTTCATCACAGAGCATCAAGACTCATGATGTCTTACCCTCTTGATGCAATTGGACATGAATCCATCGTCTTATGTTTTTGGTGCGATAGAACTTAAATTCACCGTCTTATCCACAATGAGGCTCAACCTCAAGCCTTCAAAATAATAGTAACTTTATCACTTTTGATGATCATCAATATGATTGTACATTATAATTACACACAAAATTGAGATTATTGATTTATTATAATCAATATTAATAGTTAATTCCAATAATAAAAAAAAATATTAATAGTTAATAGACATAGCTTTATAGATCACGTACCTCTTATAAAGGTTGAAAATATATCTTTCACTAAATTGTGCTTATTTAATTATTGAAATAAATTAAGGAATTCTCTTCCCAATCGGTTAAAATTAAACGTATAGAAAGTCGACAAGTCTCTTTAAATACTTACTTTAGATGGTACGTCCAGATCTGTCACATAAATAATTATAACATAAAGATAAATCATACCTTGAAGATATAATAACATTATTGCATAACTTATGCAAGATCTATTTTGCACTTTTCCCGTCTTCTTCGTTATCATTCTTTAAGAATAAAATAATCGTGCAAATAACGTGTTATGAAACTATATGAATTTAGAAGAAGAATAAAGTAGGGAGAAGAGAAAAGACTTCTTATTCATCTTGAAATATATTCAAAGTTTCATAGATCTTTCTCAAATCTTATTTACAATGAAGGAATATCTCTTTATTTATAGGGGAAACCTAACTAGATCTCCAGGTAGAATTTCTAACCATATCCTAAAAGGACTCCACATAATTAGACATTTACTATGATACAAGTATGTTTATAACACTTTTAGAATTTTTAGAGAATTAATTTTTTTAAAAAAATAATAGAAATAAAAAAGTTAAAACAAAGAAGTAAAACTAAAAAAAAAAATAAGAAATTAAAAAGTAATTAGCTAATATTAATAATTTCTCCTTATAAATTGGACAGTGTAATTATCTCCTGCCAGTTACACAAATTATCTGAATACTAACTAGTTACATGTCCAAGTAAACACAATAAATAATATAATTATACTCAATTTCACCAAATTCAATTATAACACGCCCAAAATCTTATACTAAAAATGTTTAATTTTCTCTTAAAAATATTTTTATACTTTATGCTTTTTGCTGAAGAGATTGAGATGAATTTTTTAATATCAGATCCCCGTGTTTAATGCTTAAGATCTGGCAGGTTTTAATTGACAATTGTGGTAGGTTGAAAGATCCGAAAGGCATAGTGCTTAAATTATTAATTAGAGTAATGGGAAAAGCACCTCGAAATTATTAAGCACGTTCAGCTATTATTTATTCATCTACTCCTACTTTATTATAACGCCTGTTTCACGTATAGGCGTTCCTATTCCCATCTACTTCTTTCTTCATTTAATTTAAAAAGTCAAAGAAATAATTTCTAATTTATTTTTATTACTTTATTAATTAAGTTATGTTGATTAACTTCAAAACATTAAAGTTGTTATAATCGAATAGTGATATAGTAAATTGTGATTTTTTAAATTTTCTTCATTTCATATATTTTATATTAACTGAATTGTTAAATATAAACCTAATAAGAACAAAAAAAATAGGACATGAATTTAACTCTCTTTTTCTTAATATCAAACTATTTTTTAAAAAATAAATAGTTTAAATTAAATTATAATATGAACAATTAACTTCGTTAAAATTATCAAGTAGAAAAAGTAAAATGAAAGAAAATTTTAATAACTTTCTTGAAATTTGAATATAATTGGCTAAGAGAAAATCTATCAATTTAGTTATTGTTGAAGTGGACTACTTACTAGAGAATATTTCAAGTTAAAAGCAAGTACTTTATAATATATATATAAGGGGTCCACTGTAGCTTGATCCCATCTATAAATAAAGTACTACTATATCTTTTTTAAATAAAAAAACTACTACTATATCTTTTTTTAAATAAAAAAACTACTCCTATATCAATATCATACAACTATTATCACAATATCAATTTTCCTTTATCCTTTCATTTTCTAGAGAAAGAGCACAAGGCGCCATGGGAGTAGCAGCTCAAGTTAACCAAATGTGGTTCAATCTCATGATCGTCCTCTTCTTCGTCTCTATTTCTTCTATTTCTGCTGTAAGTTACTCTACTCTTCATACAATTGTGCTAGATCTATTCTATTTTACTTTTACTTTGCAATTGCTTATTCGATGAGGGGAAATGCAGGAAGATTGTGTTTACACAGCTTACATTCGCACTGGTTCAATCATAAAAGCTGGTACCGATTCAAACATTTCGTTGACTCTCTACGATGCCAATGGCTATGGACTTCGAATAAAAAACATAGAGGCCTGGGGTGGACTTATGGGTCCAGGTTACAACTACTTTGAAAGAGGAAACTTGGATATCTTCAGTGGGAAAGGTCCTTGTGTGAATGGACCGATCTGTAAAATGAATTTGACTTCAGATGGTACTGGACCACACCATGGATGGTACTGTAACTACGTGGAAGTCACCGTTACCGGAGCTAAAAAACAATGCAACCAGCAGTTGTTCACCGTGAATCAGTGGCTGGGCACTGATGTTTCGCCGTATAAGCTAACGGCCATCAGGAATAACTGTAAGAACAAGTATGAGTCCGGTGAGCTAAAGCCCCTTTATGATTCTGAATCATTTTCTATAGTTGATGTAATTTAATTGGGCCCAGAATATCTGTTTGATTTTCTTCTCTCTCTTAGTGAGAGTGGGAAAATATAGGCGTGAATTTGGTGATGATTAACGCATGTCTTTGCTGTCATGGACATTTTGAATAACTCAATAAAGAATCTCTCCTCTTTCTCTGTTTTTCCTAATTTGCCCATACTCTCGGAAAGAATTGTGACAATTTTTTCTTTTAAATACTCTCGTTGTTTCCTTAAAAAAATGATCTAATTTGAGTTGACTCGGAATTTAAGAAAATAAAAAAAATTTTAAATTTTGTAATCTTAAAATTAAAGTTATATCAAATAACAGTGTTGTCATTTAATCTTCTGGTTTTATATATATCATGTAAAAAGATGAAATTAAAATGTTATAAAAAAAGAGACCATTCTTTTTAAACAGACCAAAAAAAGGTCGTTCTTTTTTAAAATAAAGAAACTACTTGCTAGAACAATACAATACATGAAAACTTACATAAATATACTATAAATTAAAAATATTTATCATTTATAGTAATAATATTTTTTCACTTGATCAATTTAATATATTTATAATAAATCTTACTCTTCCATTTAAAAAAAGATGACTTAGTTTGACTTGGAACGGAGTTTAAGAAAAGTAAGATGACTTTTTAATCTTGTGATTTTAAATTAAAATTATGTCAAATGTACCAAAATGTTCTTTAATGTTGTGGTCTTAAACATGTCACATTGAAAGTTAAAGTTAAAATGTTGCCAAAAAAAAAGAGAAAGGGGTCATTCTTTTTTAAACAAACTAAAAAGGAAATAGGGTCAATCTTTTTGAAATAGAGGAAGTAATTTATATTACAAAGAATAATTTATTATTCACATATAATACAAGTTTTATTGATAGATAATACATTTATCATATAATACACTTACGATAGAATGTGATCAATTTCTGACCAAAGCAGAATATACCTTTAAAAATAGTTATAATACATATATATTTCATATTTAATTCACTTTTAAAAATATTGCAAATTTAACATAATATTATTATAAATGATATTAAATAAAAAAATATCGCTAAAATCGTAATTAATTATTAAAAGATACCCATCTAAATAACTTTTCATACCATATATTTATACAACTTAATGATACTTAAACCTAGCTAATTATGTCTAATTCAAATATTTAGCTAATTAATTAATATCAAGACAATTTAATTTAATATTTCAATATGGGTTGTTAGGCAGCCATAAGGTAACATCTCCTGTCAAATTGACGTTGAGTATCACATAGCAACAATTCAGAGAGAAGAAATGGATGGTGTAATCACTTCATAGCCTTATGGTGGGAAGGAACATGTCTAATAGTGAGAAATCTTATCGGTATTTAGGTCCCCGATATAGTCCAGTCTCCATCAATTGTTAGCTTTAAAAAAAATAAAAAAAATGAGACTTATATTTATTTTTTAATTTTATAGTTATGTCTCTAAAGATTTGTACACGTAACAAGTAGATTTGAAGAGTTCTAATAAAAGAATTTTTTTTCGTGTTAACTTGTTCTTGTTTTTATTGTTTTCTAATTTTTTTTCGTTTTCGTTGGATCGAAACTGACTTGTCTTGGTGAGAAAAGACAAGTGTCATCACGTTCACTTTTGAATTTGTGAGCATTAGAGATACATTTGGTAATATATATTTTTACAATATGATTTTCCGATATATATATATATATATATATATATAAATCATTGACTAGTGAGTAGGGTGTGAACAAGAAATCTTAATGATACCAAAAAAATATATTTATACCATTATAGTATTATTAACTAATGAGAAATTTTTAAACAAAAAACTTTTGATACATACAGTATTTGATTTAGTATGAGTTAAACAAAATTAATTGAAAGAGTATATAGTGTAATTATTTAGTGAGGTATAAATATAAAAAAACATATATTTATGATTATTTTGCTTTTATAGTGTATTTGCATGTTTTCCCTTATTATATTACGTAACTAAACAATATTCTAGCCAAATAAATACACAAACAAAGAAGGAAAAGGTCCAACCCATTTTTAAAGTACAAATAACTTAAATACACAATTATAAGTTTATTATTCTCTTATTTATTTTTTAATGAATTACATAATTCTCTCTTTTTTTTTTAAATTTTAATAGAAGTTTAGAGATACATAACGTTCTCTCTTCTATGATACACGTTTTCCCAATATCATGCCTATTTTTTCTCCACTAAAACACTCAATCTTCTGAATCACTTTTTGAATTTTGAATTATTACTTTTAATCAAACATGTTTCACAACATTTACTATGCAATTTTGAATTTCAAAATTCAAAAATATGAAATTTGTGAAAATTGGAACTACCATTGTTCTTTGGTTCTTTTTCTTCTTCTTACTCCATCATCCGTTGTTCTTTTATTCTTCTTTTTTTCTTGTTCATCATTATATTAGATCATATTAATGGATCCTTTTACGAATCGGAGAATTTATGATTTGGACGATGAAAATTGAAAAGAAAATAGAAAAAAGTCTTTACATGATCCTTTGGATGTTCGGAAGGATTCAAACAAAGATATTCCGGAATCCTCTAAATCAAAGGTTGCACAAATACACAAACAAAATAGAAAAGCATCAACAACCATTATTGCCAGGCCAACATTACTTCGGGTATGTCTTTTTTTATACTTCTTTTAAAATTGTTTTTGAAGTTATAGTACATTTGATAAACATTGTTATAATGTGTTATAATGTTTATTCGATTTCATGATACAAGAATTAATTGTGTGTTAGATGATTTTCAATGTATAATGAGTATTTAAAAATTGTTATCATATATCAGACAATAAGTTTAATACATATCGACTCAGTGTGTTATAGTGTTTAGTCGATGTATTGATACATGAATTAGATGTATATCATATGTTTTTTATATAGTATGAACTTTTTGAAAACTGGTATCATGTATCAGTAAGGAATTAGTTGTTTATTTAGTATAAGATTTATATTCAATATCGTTAATTTTTTTTTTCAAATTGCAGCCACTCAAGTACAAGATAAAAAAGATACCAACGCATCCCATAAGGTTTTCTGTCAATTTTAACAACACTTTTTTGAAAGATTTTGAACAATATATAGAGAATGTAATTCAACTATTTAGGGATACAATTTTGGACCATTTTTAGATATTACTAAATGTAATTTTTAGGGCCAAATCACTAAGTGCTTGCTGTTGTTAGAGTTGAAACAAGACAACCCTAATGTGTTGCATATTAGACATATAAATGGGTGTATCCTGAAATTTGATATAGATGAATTTGAATATTAATTGGACTTAAAGTCAAAGGCAATACCAATGATTTCCAATACCCAAAATCAACTAATTGTATGCTATTCCAAAAGTATTTTCCTGGTGAAGTGAATAGTGTTACCAAGTATCAACTAGTTCAACGATTTAAGATGGGTAACTGGGAGAACGATCAGGATTCACTCCAAATGTCTATATTGTTCTTTATTCATACATTTGTATTGGCTACTCTTGATAATACAACTATATCCATTGTGGATTTTCTAATGGTGTAAGATGGTAGATATCAAGATTATCCTTGGGATCAGCTATCATTCTCAAAACTCATTGGTTAACTTAGACAGGATTTTAATGTTAGCAAAAAATTATATTGATTATATAGGCTGCCGTATGAACTTAACATATGGATATACGAATGTTCATCCCAGTTAAATCCTTAAATTGTTGTCAAAGAACGAAATGTCATCCCAAGAATGTGCAATTGAAGAGTTGTGTTTGATAAGACAAAATTTGAAATGCTTATGTCTAACACTTTTCAAGAGGTAAAATTGAATCAATTTTTACTGTTAGAATAAACTATTTCAAGTTTGTCTATTTAATATCGTTATTTATGTCTTGTGATACATTGTGATATGTCTTAACTATTTAATGTGTCTGATACATCCCTTCCACCACCCCCAAAAACAAGAAAAAAAGTGGTTATACATAAAAAAAAGTTTCAGAATCGAGTCAGCCTGATCAATCAAATATGTCTTCGACACCGGATGATGATGTACATGTTTCTATTCCAGATCTGCTTCCCACTCCGGCTGCTGATGTACATGGTTCTATTCCAGACGTGTCTCTGAACCCGATTGCTGATGTACATGGTTCTGCAGATTCTTAGAAAGTTAACTATGTAATTCCAGATATTAAAAGTTGAAAGGACATTTAAAAAATTACATAAGTTAATTATTTTGATAATTTTAATCAAATGTAATTTATTTTTATCCTAAATGTATTTATAATTTACAGGTTGACAAGAAATTTGAGGAACTGATTATATTGATAAAGGAAAATCACTCCCAGTTGATGCAATCTTGACGCAAGGAAAACATCAATGTTGAGGCTAATACAAACACATTTTTTCAGTATGAGAAACAAACATCTCCACAAATACGGATTGATATTTCTGATAGGGTGGTGTAGCTGAGGATGGTGTTGGTGTTTCTGATAACCATGGTGAAAATTAAGTCACTGACGATGCGGGGAATGTCGCTGAGAATGGTGTTGGTGTTTCTTTTAAAGAGGGTGAACAACAAGTCAATGCTATTACAAAGGTATGTTTTATGATACATTGTATACGATTTTTAATTTAGTTGATGTCATGTATCATGCACATATACTCATTTTGTTATGTATCATGCGAGTATAAACACTGTTATGTATTAACACAAATTATATTAACGATTTTCACATAAAAACTGCATATTCAGGATGGCGACGCACATCAATCGCACCAAGATTTAAATGAACCTATTATGGATCAAGATGGTGATGACAATGTTTAACACAACATTTCTCATATTTTGCCCGATAAAACAACAATGGATGCATCAGTAGATTTTTCAATTTGGCTTTATGATACACAATTTCATTACACACAAATTTACTAAAAAAATCATTACATCATATTATATAGAATCTTCCACTTCAGCAACA